AGTCCAGACTGTCCACAGTCCAGAGGCCGACAGCCCAGAGCTTCCAAGCGTGGATTCAGGTGTCAGCAGCGGGGGTGAGGAGCAGGTGAGTCAGGAGGAGAGCATGGAGGAAGTCGATAAGGCCACCGAATCTACACGCTTCCTCTTTCCTCCTCATCCTTCCAGCGCCTTACCCTGTTCCCTGCTCTCTTCGCAACAGCTGCCTTTGAGCTTCTCCGGGGCAGGTTTTGGTCCAGTCTTGCAACCTCAGCATGATCATGGACTTGAGAAGATGTCGAGTAGCAGGTTGGTGGAACCCTGTACTGACGGTTATATGCCAGTGAGACAGGAAGAGGGCCGAGAAGAGACAGAAACACTGCCAGTAGGCCAGTAACAGCAACATGCTGGGCAGTACAGAATGTAGCATCTGCAGACTTCCTCATAGCCGGAGAGTCAGATAAAACGCTTGCTTGATATACAGTCACTTGATAAAAATGCTTGATGGTTATTCTCAGGAATATCTGTTCTCAGCTATATCTATCCTCATGCAAACGTGAATATGATGCCCAGTGGTCCACAGCTCTGAAGGAGGTGGACGTTTTAATGAATGTATTGTTTTTTTTAAATCTTATTTCACATATTTATCCTAAATTATGTATCATATAACCGATGTGTGCTATGGGTGATGACAAAACACCTCAACAGGATGCTGTATATTTAAAAAAGAAGAAAAAGAAAAAATATATATATGTTGTTTTGCTCATTCTAACAGTTGCAGTGTTAAGAGTGATATGGTGTGATAAATGTAGTTTTTCCCTCATGACATGGATTTATACCCAAAGATGTGAATTATGTGAAATGCTGCCTTACTAACTGTTTTTCATATTTATAAGATCGTTTTTGACAAAACCATACATGTACAAAGACACAGGTTGTAGTGCTACATGTCTGTGGACTTAACTGACGTGAGCTGTGCAGCCAGTTATAATGTCCTGGCGTTTACCTTTTGCTGCCTTATTTACGACTTTATTGCATCCCGGTAGAACGACATTAATCACGATGCTGCTTCACTAAATCTGAGCCACTGCTCCAGTGTCTGCAGATACCATGTCTATGGTCAAAAAGACTGAACGCTTCCCCTTTTCATGCAATAGGCTGCATTACCTTTCTAATGCAGCTCCATTATTGGTCACTGCCACCCAGTGTACACAAGGTGAATTACACAGACATAAACTCACAACAAGCAAATGATAAAAGGGCTCTTCCACAGGTGGTTGGAATGACCACTCTGTAGGTACTATGACCAGGATTTTACCACGAATGATCCATGTGATCATTCCTGATACATTTCCAGAAGCTCTACATTGGAGGACAGTGACACTGACTACAGAGATAAAATGACTGTATCTGACAATCACACCTGTACTAAAGCAATCCTGCCAAGTTTTCATCGTCAACAGCAGATTTGCTTACATTAAACATTCCCAGACAAAAAAATCCTCCCAACACATTTGCAAAGTGTTCATGTTTTTAATAAAATGAAGCCTGCACCACCTCACATCAGCGTACAACCTCTTCCTCTCTCAGTGGTGCATCACTATTGTTTCATGTGCAACAGCTGTGATTGTCTTTTGAGTCAGTCAGCAGAACAGTATTTCTTGTGCTTACAGCTGGTCTGTGAGTGTTCCCTACTGGTACAGTAGGACTTATACATGATGCAGTCGACCACTCACCAAAACAGGCTGTCATATTTTATATATTTATTCTATATGTGTGTTTTGTTTTTTTTTAAAGAAGAAAAAGATTTTCAAAAAGCAAAACTGCTGCTACTGTTTTTGTCTTCATGGCATATGCAATGTTACAATAAATAAATGTCTTTAAAGAAAGAGAAATGTGCTTTTCTTTTTTCGTATAGCTTTAATGTTTTTTGGGGGGGGGGTTCTCAAAAAGCTTTAATGGCATCACCAAAACTCTCTCTTGAATTTAAGAGGCAAAGCAATAAACAATGAAACAACATCCTAGAATCTGAGGTTGAAATAATGACTCTTCAGTGCATAAAT